CATTTTTAAGCCACCACCTATCTGTCAATTTGTTGTGCTGTGGTGGCTTGCATGTTACTGTGAGGCTGGAGGCTATGCCCCTGATATTCAAATACCAGCAGGGTTTTGAAATTCTTCTGTCAAAATTTGTAGAGATTTACAGGTTTCAGTGGAGTTTCCAGACAAGGACAGACTAGGAAGAGGGACCTACTTTTGCAAAAAAGACTTCATCTCCTGCACTTTGGGCATGTTGTCTGGAGGGACCAGGCCCCAGAGAAGGACATCACGCTTGGTAAAGGAGAGGGTCTACAAAAAAGAGGAAGGCCCTTGTCTTAGCTCTCTAGTGCTGCAATAACAGAAATACCACAAGCGAGTGGCTTTAACAAACAGGAATGTCTTGTCTCACACGGTGGGAGGTCAGAAGTCTGAACTCAGGGCACCAGCTGCAGAGAAAAGCTTTCTCCCTCTTGGCTCTGGGGGAAGGTCCTTGTCTCCTTTCAACATCTGTGGTCCTGGTGTCCCTTGGAGGTCTCCATGTGTCGTGTAAGATCAAAGAGGATACAGGCCACACCCCAGGGATCAGGGCTGTGACCCACCTAAGGTCATGACTTAAGTAAGGGAGATGCATCCCTGTGGCCTCAGACACAGCAATGACTGTGAGGTTGGAGCAGGACTGGGCAGTGTTTTGTCCTAGTGTACATGGGGTCGCACGCAGTGAGCGGGAACTGAATCGATGACCCCTAATAACAATGCCTAAGGTATTTGACTGCTAACCAGAAGGTTGGTGGTTCAAATCCACCCAGCTGCTCTGCAGAAGGAAAATGGGACAATCTACTTCTGTAAAGATATGCCACCTTGGAAACCCAAAGAGGGTCGCTAGGAGTCTGAATCGACTCGATGCCGGTGAGTTTTTTGAATAACGACAACAATTTTTAAAAATCATCTCTCAGTATCTGGTAATCTAAAAGGCGAGCCGGTAGGCAGGGAGAGAATTGTGGTTCTATCTCTCTTCATCCCTTTATCGCCACCACAGCGATAAGGTTTACCCCTTATCTCCCATCTTCCCCTGCTAGATTATCATGCCTGGGCCTCCGGCACCCTCGCCCACACGTTTTGTTTCTTATTGTGGCGAAAAGAAAATTCCGTTGCTGTCAATTCCAACTCACAGCCACCCTATGTGACAGGAGAACTGCTCCATAGGGTTTCCTACTGGTAGCATAGTGCCTAAGGCACTTGACTGCTAACCAGAAGCCTGGCGGTTCAAACCCAGTAGGCACTCCTTGGAAGGAAGACTGGGCAATCTACTTCTGTAGTGATACTGCCTCGGCAACCCAAGGAGGGGTCACTATGAGTCAGGGCCAGTCGACTTGATGGCACATAACAACAACAACAAGCTATACAGGAGCCGATCATGAGGCCTTCCTTCCTCAGAACACCTGGTGGGTCGAACCACCGACCTTTTGGTTAGCAGTTGAGCACTTAACCATTGTGCCACCAGGCCTGTTTGTGGTGAAACACCAAAACATTCACCAGCACAACTCCCACATTTACAATGGTGACCATAAAGGTATCACCTTTCTCAATGACCTTTCTCCAAGTATCCCACCATCATTAACATAACTCAATGCCCACCCCCAAAACTAAAGCTCCCCTGCCCCCTCCCACCTCCAGTAGCTACAATAATTTTTTTTTTTATATTTGCTTACTTCATATGAGTGAGATCATCCAGTATTTGTCATTTTGTGACTGACTTATTTCACCCCGTCCCATGTTTTCAAAACAGCTTTGGTGGCATAGAGGTGAAAGCATTTCGCTGCTAAGAGGGGAAAGACCAGACAGTTGGCCTCGGTGAAGACTACCCTGTGGTGCAGTTCCACTCTGTCCTCTGGGGGCGCTGTGAGTCGGAATTGACACAATGGCAGTGGGTGTGGTCTTGGTTTGGATGTTTTCAAAGGTTCTTCTATGTGGTGATGAGCAACAGGACTGAATAATCCTGCGTCATCTGTTTTTAATAGGAGTCCTTGGTGGGGCAAAAGGTGAGCCCATTTGACTGCTCACTGAAAGGCTGCAGGTTCCAGTCCACCCAGAGAGGCACCTCAGAAGAAGGGCTGGTGCTCTACTTTCAAACACTCAGCCACCGCAAACCCTATGGACACAGTCCTATTCTGACCCACATAGGGCACCATGAGTCAGAGCGACTCAACAGCAACCACTTTAAAAAAAAAAGTGATTTGAGAGCAGTGTTAGGTTCCCACAAAAACGGAGCTGACAGAAGAGTTTCCCAATGCCCCGCCCCCACCCACAGGTCCTCCTGTTATTAACCCTTGCATTCCTGTCCTCTTGTTATAACTGATGAACCGACAGTGCCAGATCATTTTAACCTCAGGCCCATAGTCCACACGAGAGCTCACTCTCACTCTTGGTGTTGTCCAGGTTTGGACAAATGGTAATGCCACGCGTCCACTGCAGGTCCCTGCACAGCCCTACAATTGCCCTGTGCCCCCCATCCACCTCTCCTCTCCTCCCCTCCCCGTGGACCCCTGGCAACAGCACATCTTCTCACTGTCTCTAGAGAATGTCACCCAGTTGGATCACACAGTTGTACTCTTTCGGGTTTCGCACTCATTTTCAGACTCCTTTGTATAAAAGAGTGGGTGCTGGGATGGGTGGTTCGCATCAGTGTAGGGGTCTGGGCTGTGCACCCCATGGGCTGCCTGAGCCTCAGGTTTCAGAGAGGGTCCCTGTCTGTTTCCTAGTTGTAGTGTGTTTCTGATTCTCTTTCCATATTTCCACTGTTCAGTTATTGGATGGATGTTGTTGTTGTTATGTGCCATTGAGTCGGACCTGACTCATAGTGACCGCTCCCTGGGTTTCCAACGCAGTATCACTACGGAAATAGATTGCCCCGTCTTCCTTCTGAGGAGTGGCTGGTGGATTTGAACTGCGAGCCTTCTGGTTAGCAGTCAAGTGCCTTAGGCACTACTCTACCAGAGCTCCCATTGGACAGATAGGAAGTGAAATCCTATAACATGCTGGGCATTGCTGGAGTCAACACAGACCCAGTCCCCACCCTCACAGGGCTCACAGTTCAGTGGGGGAGACACACACTGTTCAGTTACCACCGCTGGGGGGTAGGGCGGAGCAGACATCAGGGCTGTGATGGGGCCCCTCCAGGGTGATAGCTGATGTGGAAGGAGGGCCTGCTCAGAGCTCCTGCACTTACATAAGGGGGCCTGGGGCTGCAATGGTTAAGTGCTTGGCTGAAAACTGAAAGGCTGAAGGTTCGAACCCATCAGCCAGCAGCTCTGCGAGAGAAAGACGTAGCCGTCTGTGTCCATAAAGATTACAGCCTTCCATAAAGATTGGAAATCCGACAGGGCAGTTTTACTTTGACATTATGAGTTGAAGTCACTGTGAGTTGAAATCTTCGCAAAGGCATACATTATACCCATTTTAGTGCTGGTGAAACTGAGGCCCTACGAAGTTAAGGCACTTGTCTCAGATGGAACCGCTAGGAGAGTGTGGGACTGGATCAGGACCCTGTAAGTCTGGTTCCAGAGCACAAGATTTGACAGCCAGAGAGAGATAGGAGTTGAACATTTCCCCGAGGCAGATACACTCCTTGGAAAGAACAATCATGGGAGAAAGAAGGGCTGTTTATGAACAGGGAGAAAGCTCAGGGGACAGGGGTGCATGGAGGGATGGACATAGGTAAGAGGTGACTGTAGGGAGGAAGTGGGAGGGGAGCTGTTGCACTGTGGTGAACTGTGGTCAATGTTATGACACAAAGTGTATGTGAACTGCTGTATGGAAAGTGAATTTGCTCTGTAAATTTTCACCCAAATCACAATTAAAAAAAAAAAAAGATTTGAAAGCCAGGGGTGGAGGGGGCGTGGAGAGGGCACTGGGCCCCGCCCCTTGTAGGAACCTGAAACCGCTGGGTCTGGTGACCCAGAAGGGGGAGGGAAGTTAGAGGAGAACAGGAAGGGGTCCAGAACATGCCTCACAACCTTGTGCATCTGACTCACTGTGTGCCCTTGAGTAACTCGCTTCCCCTCTCTGGGCTTGTATCTGGGCTTGAATGGGAGTGAGAAGGGGCGCGGCCTTTAGAAGCTGCGGCCAAGCTGGGATGAAGTCATCCACGTGGAGCGCCTGGCACCTCCAACGCTCATTAAATGCCGACTGCTGTTATTATAATCATTATTACATTATTATCATTAGTATTAATTAATTGGTACTAATTCTGCCTCGGCGCCCCACTGGGTCTCCCAACTCTGACCCCCCACCCCAACCAACTGCTCTGCCACCCTGTCCTACCCTCTCCGGCTAGCCTCGGGCTTCAGAAAGCTGCAGGCGGGCTGGAGCGGGACGGGCCTGGAGCCGGAGGTCTGAGTTGGGATTCCTCTGGCGTCGCTCCCGCCTTGGATCTCCAAAGAACCAAACTCACTGCTATCGAATCGATTCCGACTCATAGCGACTCCATTGGTTTCCCAAGGCTGTAAATCTTTACAAAAGCAGACTGCACCATCTTTCTTTCGCGGAGCTGCTTGTGGTCATGAACTAATCTTTTGGTTACCAAACGGCTTAACCACTACACCACCAGAGCTCCTTCACCGGCATCAGGAGACCCTCAAACCCCACTCTCAAAAGCGGGCACTAGGACCCCGCGATCCCGCTGGCGCTGTGGTGGAGGCCACACCTCCTTCCTTGCTGATTGGCTCGAGGGCCCCTGCTCGCGGCCCCGATTGGTGGGAAGCGGCCGCCGCTCCCGGGATTTCCAGCTGCCGCCGCGCCCAGCCGGCGTTGCCGTCACCCTGCCAGCAGGCTGCGGGGTCGCAGGGTCGGCGGACCAGCGGAGAAGCTTCTGCCAGTAGCCGGCCCGCTGTGGGCCCTTGGCAGAGTGGCCAGCCTTCCCCTAGGGCTCCTCGGCAGCTGTTAGACGGCCCGGGTCGGTGGTCCCCTCCGCAGAGCCTGGGGCTGGCTGGTCGTCAGGGCGCGGCGCACGCGGTGAACCCGGCGTCATGGGTCCCGGGCCCCCAGCGGCGGCGGCGTCCCCGCGGGCACTGTCCCTGGTCGCGCGGCTCAGCTACGCCGTGGGCCACTTCCTCAACGACCTGTGCGCGTCCATGTGGTTCACCTACCTGCTGCTCTACCTGCACTCGGTGCGCGCCTACAGCTCGCGTGGCGCCGGCCTGCTGCTGCTGCTCGGCCAGGTAGCCGACGGGCTGTGTACGCCCCTCGTGGGCTACGAGGCCGACCGCGCCGGCGGCCGCTGCGCCCGCTACGGCCCGCGCAAGGCCTGGCACCTGGTCGGTAAGCGCCCCGGCCCGCGTGGGCCCAGCCTCTCCCGCCTGTCTGTCCGATCGGCCAGCCCCTCTGTCAGTCCCAACCCTGACACACCCCTGTCTGTCTCTTCCAGCGCTCCTTCTGTCTGTCTGCCGATGGCCAGAGCCTCCTCGCTCTGTCAGTCAGTCCATGGCCTGAGTCTGTCTCCTCTGTCTGCCTTTTGAGTGTTGTCTGACCTGTAGAAACCTCCATCTACCCCCTGCCTGACCTCCCAGTGCTGTTTCACTATGTCTGTCTGTCTGACTCGGGGCACTCTGAGCTGACTGCCCAGTGCCTCTGTCAGTCTGTCTGGTGTGGCCTGACTTCTCCTGTCAGATGGTTACCAGAGCCCCCTCTGTCTGTCTGTTCTTCCAGAGCGTCTCCCTACATCTTCTACCCCATCTCCAGCCGCCTGTTTCTTTTGGGGGGTGTGGTGGTTAAGGGTGCTGCCTGGGAAGCTGAGATTCAGGGGACAGGTGAGACAGAAAGGTCTGGTGTTTGTAACCTTCTCTTGCCTCCTACCTGTCTGCCTGACCCGGCATGGGAGTGATCATAATGGGGGCCCTTGTGTCCTGGGAAGCCTCCCTGGTGGCCTAGTGGATAAGGCATCTGGCTGCTAACCAGAAAGTCAGCGGTTCAAACCCACCAGCCGCTCTGCGGAAGGAAGATGGGGCCACCTAAAGATTTATGGCCTCTAAAACCCAGTGGGGGTTGCTATGAGTCAGAATTAACTCAGTGGTGGTGAGTTTGGTTTTTTGGTTTGGTTGTGTCCTGGGGGAGTGGCTCAGACTAGAGGGCTGGTGGGAGGGTGGGAAGCCAGTCTCTGGGGCCAGGGTGTCCTGTCCCCCGGTGCATACTGATAAGGCCGCAAGGCCCGCCTCCCAGTGTGCCCTGCTCTCCCCACCCCAGCCCTGGGCCTGGAGATTAGCCCCGGCCACTCGCCTGCTGTTCTTCCCGAGTCCAGCACCGCCACATCCTGGCATCTGAGGCGCCTCTGGCATTCAGGATCCCGGGCCAGACATCCTGCCCACTCTCAGAATTCCAGGCCGCCCATGCCTTCTTGCCCTCAGGGGCAAGGACCGAGAGGGCGCCCTTTGACCCGAGCCCTCCTGAGAGTGCTTTGTGAGATACAGCAGCTTTCTGGGGCCCAAGGCTGGCCAGCCGTGCAACCGAAGCCTGGGGGCCAGATTTTCAGGTTTCTGAGGACACGCAGTCCACTCCTGGGTCACTTTGGGCCAAGGCAGCCAGGGAGAGGCAGGGGGCTCGGGCCTGAGGAACTTCCTCATCTAGAAAGTGGACGCTTGAGCCCGCCCCTCCTCCTTCCTCTTCAGGGTCTCAGATGCAGCTGTAGTCATCATAGTTGGGAAAACTCTGACAGGGAGCCCTGGTAGTGCACGTGGTTAAGTGCTCAGCTGAAAACTGAAAGGTCAGCAGTTCAAACCCACCCAGCGGTCTGCTCCCATAAAGACGACAGCCTAGGAAACTCTCTGGGACAGCTCTCTTTTGCCACATGGGGGCGCCGTGAGTCTGAATCAGCTGGAGGGTACCTAGCAACAGCAAAGTCATCAACCAATAAAATAATCCCTGAGCTGAAGGGGGCAGGGTGGGGGCCTCTTTTGTGTGGGGTGGAGCCAGTCTGGGACCTTGTGGGCATGGGAATGGTGTCCCTGGCACCATCCATTTTCTGACCCAGAGAAGGAGCTCTGGTGGCATAGTGGTTAATGTTATTCAGCTGGTAACCAAAAGGTCAGTGGTTCGAACCCATCAGCTGCTCTGTGGGAGAAAGGTGTGGCAGTCGGCTTCCGTAAATATTTGTAGCCTTTTTGAGGCCCAGATAGGCAGTCATCTGCCAGGGCTGGTCCAGTCAGGCAGCCTGGCCCCACGAATGGTTAACCCAGCTGGCCGGGGGCACAGTTCCCTGAACAGAGTCCACCCCCAGGGGCTCAGGCTTCCCAAGAAACCCCTGCTCAGAGGGCCCCCGGTTCCAGAGAAACAAGGGTAGGTGTTAGTTTCACTTCCTGATCCCAGGACTGTGTGTGCAGCCCCAGAATCTGGTCAGTGAGGTCATCGCAGGGAGTCTGGAGGCCAACCAGCTGCCAGGCTTTCAGGGATTGGAAGAGAAAGACTCAAGGCCCGCCGCCAGCTGGCTTCTCAGCTCCATGGCTCACTCACTGGGCAGCCTCATCACCTCCTCTGAAAAATGGGGATAGTAACACCCACCCTCAGGGCTATCAGTGGAAGCTACTATCTTGGTAGTCACGCACTCACAAGATACTGATGTGCCTGGCCAGGATAGCATAGTGAGCCCTGAACCCACCCCACGGAGCCCGCAGTCTGGTCGGGGAGGCAGCCAGTAAGCAACCAAATAAACAGAATTGCTGGAATTGCTGTCATGCTGAGCCTAGAGCCTTTGCCCAGGGTGTGTGTGTGTGGAGATTGGGGCATGAGAGCTGACTTCCTGGAGGAAGCCAGGAGTCAGCAGGGAGGGCTTCTTTGAAGAGGTGATGTTTGAGCTGAGACCTAAAGGGTGAGGAGGAGCCTGCCTTGCTAAGTTATGGGGAGAGGGCATCTCAGGCAGTGAACAGCCTGTGCAAAGGCCCTGGGGCAGGAGTGAGCTAGGTGAGTTGGAGGAACAGAGTGATAGGATGGGGTGGGGGTGGAGAGAGGAGGAGGGGAGGGCAAGAAGGGGATGGAGCAGGTCGAGCACCTGGAGAGAGGGGCCTGACTTAGCTGTTGCTGTTCCTCAGCCTCGGTCCCCAGGGGCCAGGACAGCATCTGAGGGGGAGGCCAGCTTCTGAGCTGACCGGCCCAGCCCATTCCTCCCAGGCGTCCTGCTTCCTGGGACCACACTCTTGGTACCAGGATGGGGCAGGATGTTCGAGAATGACCATGTGGGGAGAACAAGACCTCCTTCCCATGGGTACAGATGGTGCCTGTGGTGTGCAGACCTCAGGCGGATCCCAGAAGGCCCTCCGGCCTGCTGTGCCTCAGTTTCTCCATCTGCCACCAAGGGGATAACCTCCAGGAGCCATGGGCTAGTGTGTGGAGGCCAGGTTCTTGTCCCCTCTGTCTCCCCTGGTCCTCTGTGCCTCATCATGACTCATGACCTCAGAGGGTCCCCGCCTGCTCTGGTCCTCGGCTGCCTATCTGACACAAGGAATGTGTACCCAGGAAACTCTAGATTGCTGTGTGGAAGCCTTGCCTATTTGTCCTGTTGGGTTGTGTGATGTCAAGAGAGACACGCCCCCCCCAAAAAAAATCTTTGTGCCTCGGTTTCCCCATCTGACACAAAGGTTGTTTTGATGTTGTTGGGTGCTGTCAAGTCAAGTCCCACTCACAGTGACCCCGTGTGATAGTACAGCTGCCCGTAGGGTGTCCCAGGCTGTCATCTTTACGAGAGCAGACTGCCAGTGCTTTCTTCTTTGGAGCTTTGGGGTGGTTTTGAACCGTCAACCTTTCCGTTAGCAGTTGAGTGCTTAACCATTGGGCAGCCAGGGCTTCTTGTACAAGGGCTGTGTATCCAACGTGTGGAGGGCTTGCTTCACTGCCCTGTTCAGCTGCATGATCTCAGAGGAACTTCAAAAAAGAAAAAAAAAAATCTCTCTGTGCCTTAGTTTCCCCATTTGTCACAGATGCCATATACCTGGGCAGGTAACGCCGGGATGCTGGCTCCTGCCCCATGGTGTGACTTTGAGGGGTGCCTGCGGTCCTTTCCGTGCCTCGGTTTCCCCCATCACACCCCAGGGAGTGTGGGAAGGCAGGGTCCCCACCTTCGGTGCCCCCAGGGGTGTGACACCCCGCCCCTGCCTCCTCACAGGTACTGTGTGTGT